GAGCCTAAGCACAAAAGACGCACCACATCTTAAAACATGAACCGCCAGTAACGGTCCGACCTCGACCATTACCTCCAGACAAGGTCGCTACTGTCAAGGCAGGGTTCGAACACGCTTCGTCTCGGTAGTTTTCGTCCTTCTAAGAGCCCATGCTCCTCCCCGCTTTATTTGGTTCCCAAAAGTTCAGTGGCGACCGGAGACCTTGTGAAGATTACCGGACACTAAACAGCGCTACTGTCTCCAAGAGGTATCCGATTCTGTACATCCATTAGTTTTCAGCTAGTCTACATGGAATAGTAATATTCCCTAAGATAGACTTAGTGCGTGGATAATATCAAATTTTGGTCGGCCCTGACGATATTCCGATGACCGCTATAATCACACTATTTGGGCTCTATGAATTCGGTCGCATACCACTTGGTCTAGGAAATGCTGCACAGACTTTCCAAAGGTACATCGATCAAGCTCTTAGAGAATTCGACTTCGTCTTCTACTACATTGTCGATATTCTTGTAGACAGTTCCAATCATGACGAGCATCTGCTACATCTTCGGTCGATTTTTGATAGGTTCGCTCAGTACAGCGTTACAATCAATGTTGACAAGTGTGCTTTTCGCCAAAGTTCTGTGGATTTTTGGGCCACCAGTCTGATTTCAACGGCATTAGTCCACTCCCCGAGAAAACACAAGTGACAGCAGATTGCCCCATGCCATAATCCTTCAAAAGTCTCCGTCGTTTTCTCGGCATGGTAAATTATTACAGCCGTTTCATACCAGAGTGCTATGGGCTACTCCAGCCATTGACCGATGTACTTAAAGGAAGGTCATGAAAATTCGAGCCCACTCAGGAGGCTATTAATGCATTTGACAAGAGCAAGCACGCGTTGTCCAAAGCTACTGCGCTTAGTCATATGAGGACTGACGCTGACACCACTCTCATCTACAAGACTGATGCATCTCAGACAGCTGTTGGGTCTGTCCTCCAGCAGGTAATCAGTGGTCAACCAGAGCCCCCATCCATTTTCTCTCGCAAACTTCAGCCCGCACAGATGCGATACAGTACCTTTGGTCGAGGACTTTTCGCTATCTATCGCGCGATCAAACATTTCCGGCACTTGCTTGAAGGTCGTTTGTTTACCATTCTCACAGAACATAAACCACTTCCTTTTGCCTTCCGTGGTTTATCTGACCGATTCTCCCCCAGAGAAATTCATCATTTGGATTATATCACACAGTTTTGAACCAACATTTGCCATGTTGATCCCGCTAATAATGTTGTCTCTGATTTAATGTCGCGCATCTGCCTTTACTAAGTTGCACGGCAGACGATCGACTTAGAAAACATAACAGCTCATAAGGAAGGAGATCCTGAGTTTGTGCAACTGAGATTAAATCCACCGACCAGATTATCATAACTACCAATTCTTAATTCAGACTCCAAAATTTACTGTGATGTTTATACCGACAAGCCTTGGCCTTTTGTTTCGTAGAAAAACCGCCGAATCGTCTTTGACCACCTGCATGGAATCCCAGACCAGAGCCGCCGTCAAGCTGATTACTGATCACTTCATTTGGCATAACATAGGCTCCGAGATCCAGCAGTGGGCCAAAGACTGTATCACCTGCCAAACCAGTAACATCCACCGTCAAAAATTATTGTCCCTGAGATGTTCGCTCTTCCCGACGCTCGTTTCAAACATGTTCATCTTGACATCGTTGGACCCTTGCCTCCACCCAACGGTTTTGTCTATTTGTTGACACACGTTGATTTTTATACGCGTTGGCCTCTTGCTATGCATTTAGGAGATGTTTCTGCATAAACTGTGGCGCGAACATTCATTGAAAACTGCATTTCTCTCTTTGACACGCCTGCCGCTCTCACTACTGATAGAAGGCGCTGATTCACTTCGGCCTTGTTTCGTGGCTCGAACCGCTTGCTCCTTTGTTCACAACTACGGACAACCGCCCAACACTCAGCTGCCAATGGCATCATTAAACGTTTCCATCGCATGTTGTGCTGTTGATCGTTGGTTTGCTTGCTTCGTTCATCGATCATCGGATCTACCGCGCGAAATTACTGTGCTGACTAAAGTTTCATCTTCCCAACTGGATTGTGCGATTAGGAGACGGTCTACTGAGGACCGCTCTTTACCGAAGGTTAGATCTAACATCCTTACTTTATAGTATGTGAGTTCTTTTATAAATTTAAGCCTTTTTAGATTAGTCTTTTTACTATAGGATAAATAAACCCTTGATCGTCTGACAGACACCAGCATCCGGATTGACAGCAGTGGTGAAGTGTTGCAGCCTGCTTACTTGCAATTTCCAGCAAGACAAGAGAGACAAGGTCGGCTAACGTCGTCACAACATTTGTTACCTTTGATGCCAGTGCTGTAAATTCAGTACTGATGAGAGACTGACACTTTGATATAAGAGCACAGGATTCATCTTAGTTCTAACTGAATGATAAATCTCGAAATAGTCCGCTCGGGTGCCGGCACAATATTCTTCATGCCAACGGCAGCAAACATCCCACAGTATGTCACTAGATGAATCCATGAATGGCTTTGCACAGCTAAATTTTTATCAAGGTGCATTATGCTCAAACAAAGAGGACCCCGGCGTATATCTATCACAGGGGTTAGTGAGACAGCCATGATAATCTTGAAAACTGCAGAATTTTAACGTATATAAAAAGAAAAAGCGATAGATGTAACAGGATAAAACAGGATTAAAACTGGGAACAACCGAATTTGTCAGAAAGCGTCAACGAGAAAATTATTTATTACCATATTAGGCGATCTATTAAATTAGATTAAGTTGTATCCATCCAAGGTATCATGGAGGTAATGCCTAGTTAGAGGAAGTCATAAACTTTGGAGGCTGTAATAAAATATTAATGTGTCAGCTGTACGCTGTACTGGCGCTTCCATGCCGCGCGATCACTACCAGTCGCGTGCGGGCTGAGTATACCGCGAGGACGCCCACCCCTACGCGGATTCGAACCGGTGACCTTATGGTTGCAAAGCAAACGTGCAGACCACTCGGCCACCGGCTGACACTTTGGAGGCTAGCCATTGTCATCTGCTAAAGTAGTAACCTGCGTGGCAGTATAAGATAGGACGTTCTATACCCCAGTTAGGTTTCAAAATATGCAGCCTAGCCGACCTCTTCCATGGCTCAGTCGCTTAAGCTGCGGGCGTGTTGCCATCTGCCCCTAACGGTTATGGGGTCAATCCTTAATAGGGAACCGAGGGAATGCGCACACTGACGAGCCCCAATAGGACGAAATGCGTCTAGTGCTTTTCCGGGCTAGGCTTTGCTATGTAGCTTGGGAGCTTTGAGACGAAAACATTAAAATCAAAAACTTCATACTCATTAGTAAAATAAAACTGATTACTGAAAATTGTCTAATTCACTGACAACTCACTAATGATTAGTCGATGATGGCTAATCATTAGTGATTAGGGTTAATTATACGCTTTTATACGTAGGATTTTGTTACAAACTTTTCTGGCCACGGATTACTGACCAATTGCATTCAATTATGTTCACCACCCATAAAAATCCATTTTTCCTCCTTGGAGGTAATTACACGTAGAATAAAAACCGCTGTTCTACAAGGTAAAGGTGCATGGATCAGTATACGTTGATACACGGCTTCTGGCGAGCATACGGAGGAGTATTGTCAGGCTAGGAGGTTCGACTTCTCCTTTTCATAGATTGCGATGCCTGTCGGTTGCTATAACAAAGCTCGTAGGCTGTAAGCTGATGTTTCTTTTGTTCCGACAAGCATAAAGATTCCTTTGTATAAAGAAAAATTGTTTTGACAAAGTGAATCCAATTTCTTTCTTTTAATGCGCTTTTCCGGGAAGGATAGTTTTCCGAGTGCATAGTAGTTCCAATCCTAGTCGCAAGAATTTAAAATTTTCCCACAGTTTCCTCCGCAGGTTTTGATCAATCCAGTGAGCCCATTCGTGCGGGTCTTTTTCTAGTGTCTGCGACGACCTGCTCAATGAGCAAGTTCATTTTTGAATGTAAATGATTCCAGGCATCATCAACATCTGGGTCTTGTGTGATGGTCTAGTCCTGGATGCTATCCGTTATTCCTAAATAGGACGAATTTGTGCACTAGAATTTCCGATGGTACACTCTTTGGCTCTGAGTGGCTAAGCGCTGCATCTACGGGATTTTAGAGTGGTGATCAATATGGCCAATTGGAGAGAGATTGACCAGATTAGAGACATCGGATAGCGTCGGTTTGAACACAAGATCAAGGATGTGCATTGATTAACCCAAACGTATGCTTATGGGTGTGAAAACAGGCTGTATTATGTTAAGCACATAAATTGCACCAAGAAGAGCCGCATCAAAAGACTCATGAAAGAGCAAACAATTTTGCAGATTTCAGTCGACAGCTGGTGCATTGAAATTACCCACAATCAGATAGTTCTTGCGTGTAACAGGTCCAAGCGTGTCTTTGATGCCCTTTCAGGTAGGAAGATGGTTGTACCTCGGGTAGACGGCTATGAATTGTTCATTCTCTTACACCACATTTGCTTTACTGTGGACTCTTACTATGTGTTGTGATATGAGCATCGAGCCACCCACAGTGTATCTGCTTTTTATTGCAACTCACCATGTCTATTGCGACCTACGTAAGCACTGAATACGGAAGTCCTCGGAATCCTAGATCGGAAGAATAAGACATTGCTTCTCCCATAGGTTTTTACTCAGACCAGAAGGCTGGAAAACTCTATTAGTATGACACGTCACGAATTCGATTAAAGTCCACTTAGACATCAACATTATCAGTTTTTATCGTGTAGGATATCATACCCAACGCCAAAAATGTTTAACACGTATTAGAATAACGTTAAAACGGCTAATCACAGCATGCTATATACTTGTATACCAGGAATAATAATTAACATGAAGTATCCGTGTAAGGTATGGCGGCAAACCTAAAACATATAATCTAAATTTCAAAGTCCGACTAACAGCGAATTTTACGGTTCTTTAGATAACGCGCGGCAAAATCAAACGCTCGCCGCTTTACTAACCAAGGAGAATATGTCGCGGCAGGCAAAACAAACAATTTCAAGGACGGTACCGCTAAAACAGTTTGCTTGTTACTAACTACGTTATATTAAATTGATAAAAGGCGGGGACGTTAGCTATTGTCTGTAAAGATTAATGTTTAATTTTTTAACCCCTTAGTATTTGCTAATAAATTCGATTTTATGGCAGGAATTTTGTCACAATAAAGCAGATAGCCATTCTATGCACCCTCCTAGTTTGCTTACGTATAAGTAAACATCATTTAATCAATACTGCCACATTTTATACCTACGCGTTTAACAAATTCTGACTTGCTGTGTGGGCAGACATTTTTCCTTGTACCACGAAACTACCATCTGTAGCGGCAGCGATGGAAACTGTAAATGATTTAGATCAAGCTTCTGTACCTACTCTCATTTCTGTCGCTCCTCAAGATGAGCAGCTTAATGCAGCTTCGGAAGCAAAATCAATATGGGTTACTATTCGTACACTTATTGCAACCACTTTGTTTTACCGAGCTACACTCTTGCTTGAACCGCTGGGTACTGATACGTTCCTTTTATAACGTGTTGTTTTCCTTCTCAACAAGTTCGAGCCCGACCTACTATGTTTTATTGTCGTTGTATGATCAGAAATGAAACATTTATTCCTCCATTTCAACACATCGGATCGTTAGCGAGCAGCCTTTATCGAGAAGCCGGAGAGCGATTCGAAAAGGCAAATCGGGTTGCACGGAACATTTTATTGGTACAGCAAAAGGTTCCCTATTGCATTGCTATGAAAAACAACATCGTTGACGCTCCACCTAGTGGAACGCAGAAGGCAGTCGCGTGTTGCAACCGAAACGAGCGCCAAACAATTTGACGATGTTCAAGTCAAACAATCGAAATGAAAAACCTGCTCAACATTCCGCACCGACCGCCCAAGCTACAATGAAATTGTGCTTTTATTTAAATTTTATGCAGGCAAACCGGAGTATCTCCAGACTGCTACATAGCGTTCCCTCCAGAACCGACTGTTGAAACAGTTCTTCCATCAACGTGAGGACTGTCCGTCGCGGGCCAGTCTTTTGCTACACCAGGTTGTGAAACCTGATGTTTCGACTAGAGAAGCACCACGCAATCGGACCCTAGTGGGCTCACACCCGTTTCGTCCCCAAATTGTTGAAACGGAAGTGTCTGCGGGGTGACTTTTCCTAAAGTTCAGGACAGAAAGTTTATTCCGCTGCCAGTTTATGTTCGGGGATCCAGCGAAAAGTGAAACCAAAGGGGAACAAGCCGACATGGTGTATACGCAATGCAAACTGCAAAAGAGTAGCATAAATGCGTAGCAATACACAAAAGGGTGCGAAACGATAACTGTAAAGCTGTTTTTGGATTTACAAAGCTTTTGCGTTCTTGGTAGTTTTAACACGTTTCAGGTATTTTAGGTTTTAAAAAACCTTGGTAAGAGCCTAAAAATATGAGAGGCAAGTTCTATGGAAAATAACAGCAAGAGCAAACAAAGTCTGTAAGACAAACTGGAGGTTGAAGCTTTATACCGCGTCAGTTGATAGTAGGACGAGTACGAATGCTGTCGATCGCGGTTGTAGGTTCCGCTTGAGCGGGGTGACGGGTCTGAGGTTGCGGCGCTGGCCGTGATGGCGCAAGCTGTGGAGGAGTTTGTGGCACCTAACAGTGAGAGTCGTCGAGGAATGTTGGCTTGGGTCAGTCGTGGTGGATGGTCTCAGTCTTACAATTGTAGTCAACGGGGAGCGTCTTGTCGGTTCTGCGTACTACACTTTACGAGCCACCAAAAGGAGGTTGGAGTGGACGGCGTACTTTGTCGGTGCGAACGAACAGGTGCGTCTAAGTGCCAAAGCGTTCGTCCACGTTAGTACACAGGCTGTGTGCTCTGGGTTGCACAGGCCGAAGCTGTCGCATGCGGTGTGGTAAGCGAGCTGCGTAGTCGCCAAATTCGGCAGCGGTTGGGGCTTTTGGTGACACAAGCAGCAGGCAAACGTTGTATGCGGCCTAAAACTAACGAAGAAAGAGTAGCGTGTAAATCCACTTTAAACGTGTTTCTCATTCCTAAGAGAACGAACGGAAGTACTTCGTGCCAGGATGTGTTAGATGTGGCACAGATTGCGGCTTTGAGTTGCCGCTAGAACCTTTCTACCAACCCGGTAGCTGCTGGGTGGTATGCGGTGTTTCGGTTATGTTGCAACCAAGTACGCTGAGAAGTTTGCTGAATGGTCCATCAAAATGTAGTTCTCTGTCGGTGATGACTGCGTGTGGGCAACCAACTTGGGCTACACGGCGCCCTAAGAAAGCTTGTGCAACTGTTTCAGTTTAATAGTTGGTTATCAGGATCGCTTCTGGTCAACGGTTGAATCGATCGACACAGGCGAGTAGGTACGTATAGCCTTTGCATGGTTGCAAATGTCCGACCCAATAGACATGGACGTGTGCGACACGAGAGACAGGAGAGTAGAAGACACCGAGTGGGCTTTTGGTGTGTCTTTATACCTTGGCGCGCTGACACTAAGCACGCGCGAGCCACAAGGTAGATAGCGCGGTTGACTTTGGGCCAGACGAAGTGTCCGGTTACCAGCCTCTGTAAAACACGTACCCCGGGCTGGGACAGCCTGTGTAGAGCATTGAAAACAAATCCGCACATTGTCTTAGAAACTACGGGTCAGGGCGAAGTTTGTAAGACGTCACAAAGTACGATCCCCACAAAAGAAGCGATTGAAAGTCCGCGTAGTTTCAGCGCTGCTTCTAAGCTTGTCCACCTCGAGATCAGTTTGTTGGGCGGTAGATATGGCGGCCAGGTCGAGGTTGGACCCAGGAACAAATCTGATCTGCTGGATGCGCGCAAGAGCGTCTGCGACGGGAGTGAGAGCACATGAGACATTTCGTACGTCTGTCGTGCACTGAGTACCGTAGCCTAGGTGTCCAGTTTCCTATGTCTAGTTTCCCGTGTCCAGTTTCCTGCGCCATTGATTGCATGGATCAGTGGCTTGTGCTTGGTGAAACCTGTAACATTTCAACCTTCGAGATAATGAGAGAAGTGTTTGATACCTAGGTAGATAGCTAGTAGTTCCCTACCGCAGGTGCTGTAACGTGATTCAGCAGGTTGCAAAAGTTTCGATAAGAAACCTAGAAGTTTCCATCGAGCTTCGATGGGTTGTTGGAAAACCGCACTGACGGCCGTATCTGATGCTTCAGTCGTAGGAGAAAGCGGCGCAGTTGAGATTGGATGAGGGCGAAGCGTTTATTGGAGGTGGCGTCACTGAATTTCTCGAAAACCAGTTTGGCTTCTTCTGGAAAAGAAACAATAGTTGATTACCGCGGTGCAAATCGGTCATATGTTGCATAATGCTCGCGCAGTTATGAATAAAGAGCCTATAATAGCCGACCAGGCCAAGGAATCGGCGGAGTTGTTTGAAGGAGTTAGAAGCAGGAGAGTACTTCATTGCCTGGCTTTTGTCTGTTAAGGCCACAATTCCAGTGGCGGATATTCTGTGGCCAAGAAAGTCTATGGATAATTGGCTAAGCTCGCATTTCTCGGGGTTGACGGTAACCTCATTTCGCGTTAAGCATTGTAAGAGAGCATTGTGATGACGAAGGCGCTAATCGTCAGAAGATCTGTTAAAGAGAATGCCATCTAGATAAGGATAAATGACATCGAATCCTCGTGTTACTTCGAGAATGAAGCACTAAATAGCATCAGCAGCGTTATTCAGGCCGAGAGGCATTCTGTGCTACTCTACAGGGCCAAACGGTGTGATGACTACTGTCTTGGCAATATCATCCGGCGCAACCGGTTAGCAGTGGTAGGCGCGGACTAAGTCTATTTTGCTGGAAACGGACTTGCCAGCTAGAGCTGATGTTAAGTTTTCGTGTGACGAATGAGGCATTTATCTAGGACGGTAAATGTGTGGAGTGACCTGTAGTCACCACAGCGGCGACAGTCACCGGATTTCTTCGGCACCATGTGCAATGAACATGCCCATGGACGTTTTGACGGGCGGATCATGCCTAGTTCGAGCCTTTGCTCTAATTCTGCCTGAGCAGCTTTGAGCTTGTCCGCGGCTACTCTGCGTGGGCGGGCCTTAGTGCAGATGTAGTGCATAACATTTGACATCACGGGAGGCAAGTCGTTCGGAAAACGAACGAGTTTAAGGTGCTTATTAAAAAGTTTACAACAGGTTGTGAATTTTGAGGTAGGACACGAATGGGAGTGCTAGCTGCCACGTTGGCGCTAGTCCTAGCGTGTCCTAGCGTCAATTACCTGCTTCCTTTCAGCGTCCACGCGCAGGTCGATGTGCTGAAGCAGTTCTATTCCTATGATAGAGTGAGGCACAGCTGCTACTATGAAAGGTCAGGCAATATTTGGCCAAAGGCCTAGGTTGAACGTTAGCAGGTTCTCGCGGAAAGTTGCGCTTAGTGTGCCATTAACGGTACGCAGCTTGGTCGGCGAGCGTGAGACCACCTCATCTGAGCTACGGAGTATAACTCTAACGTCGGCTCCAGTGTCGGCTAGGAACTCGGTACCGGCGGTTAAATCCCTAACGCGGATGAGGCGACTTTGGTGTTTGCCGGTTACGTCCGTCGCCGTTACGGACCGACGGAGAAGTTTCCCTTCTTCTCGGCGAAGGTTCAAGGCTTTACACACTTTCGAGCTGCGGTACCAAAGCGGTGGTAGTACAGCCAGCAAGCCTGCCTGTCGCTGGACTCGGAGAGTGTTGAGGGGCTTTGTATCCGCAGTGACGACGACGGCTCCTAGCGAGCTATTAAACTTAGCAACTTAATGTCGCAACTTGTGCTCGCAGGGCATCTATAGTTGACTGTAGGCCAGTGCTTGAAGTACCCAGGGACGCGACGGCATTGATTTAGCTGGCGTCGACTTGTGGCTGTGAACGTCCGATGATCCGATCTACTAAGTCAGCTTGTTGAGTGAGCGAAGCGGAGCACACGAGTGCTAGAATCGCTTGCGTAGTTTCCGGCAGCCTTCGTAGCCGCAGTTCATGAAG